GTTGCCTAGGCTGGTCTTGAAATTGTGATTCTCCTGCCTCGGCCTCCTAAGAACCTGGTCTTAAAGGTATGTACCACACTGCCAGAACAATGTTAATATTTTTAAAATAAAGTTTTTAGTTGTAGATTTGACACAATACCTTTATTTTGTTTATTTTTATGTGGTGTCAGAATGGAACCCAGTGCCTCACACATGTCAGCAAACGCTCTACCACTGAGCCACAACCCCAGCCCACAATGTCATTTTTTGAGGGGTGGGGGGCAGGTACCAGAGATTGAACTCAGGGGCACTCAACCACTGAGCCACATGCCCGGCTCAAAACATTAATTTTTTTTTTAACAGTTTGCAAAAACACACTTTTTTCCTGTCAAAGCAGTTTTACAAACATTGCATCATTTGCTGTGTAGGCAGGAAAAACATTAATTTTTAAAAGCAAAAAAAGATAGACTGGGGATGTGGCTCAGAGGCAGAGTGATTACAAGCTGTGAGACACTGGGTTTGCCTGCCAGCAGTGTGCAAAAATAAATAATAGGAACATAAATGATGGTGCAGTATCATTTATGTGAATTTTACATACCCACTTAACTACTTATGATAGTGGAAAGTAGAAGGAAATCAGACAGGCATCACAAACATATCAAAGATATTTGAGTGGGTGCCTAGAGGTTAAAGGGAATAAGAATAGAGGTTAGGATGGGAGTGGTTGAGCTGGAGTTGTGGCTCAGTGGTAAAGCGCTTGTCTAGCATGTGTAAGGAACTGAGTTTGATTCTCAACACCATATATAAATAAAATAAAGACAACTAAAAAAGATTAAAAGAGAAAAAAGAATGTGGGGGTGGTGGGATCTGTGATACATACCTGTAATCCCAGTGGCTTAGGAGACTGAGGCAGGAGGATTGCTGGTTCAAAGCCAGTCTTAGCAACTTAGTAAAACCCTGTCTCAAAAAGTAAAAATGGGCTGGGGAGGGCTGGGGATGTGGCTTAAGTGGTAATGCGCTTGCCTTGCATGCGTGGGGCGCTGGGTTTGATCTTCAGCACCACATAAAAATAAAATAAAGATGTTGTGTCTGCCAAAAAACTAAAAAATAAATATTAAAAAAAAAGTGGGCTGGGGATATGGCTCAGTGGTTAAGTGCCCCTGGGTTCAATCCTTGGTATAAAACAAAATAAAAATAAAAATAAATGGGGGGAATAAAGGTGGAGACTACAAAAGAAAGGGTCTTACCTGAATCATTATGCTAATATGCTATTAACAGCAATATGTCATAACAGAGATTGGGGGAAACTACTTTGCAAATATGCTGGGGAAGCCCAAGAAAATAATCCTAGATGAAACAATTGGCTAGCGAACTGGGAAGCCATCCCATTTTGGAACTTATCATCAGTGCTGGGGATGGAACCCAGGACACCATTCTAGTAAAGATAACACCATCCTCAAACCTGTTTAAGGCAGTTTTGAAGAGGGTTTTCTGTTACTTGTAGCACAAAGCATCCTAATAATTTTTTGGGGGGTATGTGTGTGTGTGTTTGCAGTCCTGGAGATTAACCTAGGGATACTCAACCACATGTCCAGTCTTTTTGACTGGTTTTGAGACAGTCTTATTAAGTTTTCCAGACTGGCCTTGACCTTGTGATCCTCCTGCCTCAGCCACCCAAGTCAATGAGTGTTCAGCACTCATTATTCAGCACCACATACATTCATTTTTTTTTGTTTGTTTCATTTGTTTGTTTTTGAGACAGATCTTGCTACATTATGCTAGCTGATCTCCAGTTCCTGGGCTCAAGCGATCTTTCTACCTTAGCCTTGGGTGTAGCTAGAACCATAGCACCTGGCTGAACATTTTGCTTGCATCTTTTTGTGGTGTTGGGGATTGAACCCAGGGCCTCACATGTTAGGCAAGCATCCTACAGCTGAACTAAACCCCCCAGCTCTATTTTGAGTAAAAAATTGTGATCCAAAGTGAATTGTGAATTGTCCAATATAGTTCAAATGAAATAACTAAGTGGAAATTACTGAATAAAATGGAAAATGAAAATTTTTTTTGAAATTGATGAACCTTTATTTTACTTATTTATATGCAGTAGTTCTGAGAATCGAGCCCAGCACCTCACATATGCCAGGCAAGCACTCTACTACTGAGCCACAAACCCAGTCCGAAAATTTTTAATGACCTATATCTTTTTTTTTTTTTTTTGGTACCAGGGATTGAATCCAGAGATACTTAACAACAGAGCCACATTCCCAGCTTTTTAAAATATATTTTATTTAGAGACAGAGTCTTGCTGAGTTGCTTAGGGTCTCACTAAATTGCTGAGGCTGAGTTCAAACTCATAATCCTCCTGCTTTAGCCTCCCAAGTTGCTATGATTACAGGCACAGGCCACCAGGCCTGGCTGGCCTTTAAGTTTTGGTAAACTGAAATCTCTTTAGAATATTAGAAACTCTACTACAAACATTAAAATTATCCATATTTATTCTACTAAAAAAAATCCATTAAGTTATAAGTCAAATGATAAATAGGAAAAATTATATAGGAGATCTTTACAAATTAATAAGGAAAAGATGAACAATTAATAAGAAAAAAATATTCACATGTGTCTACAATAAATATTTATAAAATGTAAACCTGAGCATGGAATTTTTAAAAATATTTTTTAGTTCTTGATGGACCTTTACTTTATTTGTTTGTGGTATGCAGAATCGAACCCAGTACCTTACGCATGCTAGCCATGTACACTACCACTGAGCCACAACCTCAGCCCCAAGGAATATTTTTTTTAAATTAAAACTTATTACTATTAATCTTCAAATGAGAAAAATGAATTTTCAGGTAACCTAGTGTTGGAAACTTCATTTAATGCTGGTAGAAATGAAAACTGGGACATTTCTGGAAGATACGGGTGGTACATGGCAGAAGTCTTAGAATAGTACATACCCAGCCAGGTTCTGTGGCACAAACCTATAATTCCAGCACAGGAGGCTGAGGCAGGAAAATTGCAAGTTCAAAGCCAGCCTCAGCAATTTAGCGAGGACCTAAGCAACTTAGTGAGACCTGTCTCAAAATAAGAAATGAAAAGGGCTGGAGATGTGCCTCAGAGGTTAAGCATCCCAGAGTCAATCCCTCGTGTTCCCCACAAAAAATAGTACATACCTTTTGACTCAGCAGTTCCCTAAATTTATCCTGAATAATAATAGCTATCAATAAAGACTTAATCAAAAGTACCAGCATTATAGTATTGTGCATAAAAGCAAAACATTGGAATAAAACTAAATATCCAAAAGTAGAGGAATCAATTTATTGCAAATTTAAATGATAAAAACACAAAGAGTAATTATAACTGCCAATATTCAAATACTAGCTCTGCTAATCAAAGCTGTATAACCTAGAAAAAGATAATTACTCTGTACCTGTTTACAAAATGGGTCTTTTTATTTATTTATTTATTTATTTTATAATGTTGCTAGGTACCAAGGTCTCAGGCACTCTAAGGCAAGTGCTCTGCTACTGAATTATACCTCCTGGCCCAAAAGGGTCTGGTTTAACATAAATAAAGAACTTGGGTTAAGCTATGGTACCAACCTGGGTGCCCGTCAACAGATGAATGTGGATAAAGAAAATGTGGTACATATACAAACACAATAGAATATTACTCACCCATAAAGAAGAATGAAATTATGGCATTTGTCTGTAAATGGATAGAACTGGAGACTATCATGCTAAGTGAAATAAGCCAATCCTAAAAACCAAAGGCTGAATGGAAGTTCACTGGATTTTGTGAAGTTCATTCTCCTTTGTCTAAAGGAGAATGAAGGGAACAGAGGGAGGATGTGACTAGCAAAGATAGAATGAATCAAACATAACTTTCTTATGTTCATATATGAATACATGACCAGGGTAACTCCACATCATATACAATCACAAAAATGGGAAGTTATACCCCACATATGTAGGTAAAATACATTCTATTGTTATGCACAAAAAGAACAAAAAAATAAAGAATTTAGGACAGCACTGTAACATGATTAGAACCCAATAAATGAGTTTGGTTTTTTTTTTTTACATTTACAAAAGAACACTATAGATTAATATCCTGGGAAATAAACAGAAACCCAATATGTATGAAATGTTTTTATAAAAACAAATATATAGCTGGGCACAGTGGTACACACCTGTAATCCCAGCAGCTGGGATGCTGAGGCAGGAGAATCTTGAGTTCAAAGCCAGCTTCAGCAAACAGGCACTAAGCAACTCAGTGAGACCCTGTCTCTAAATACAATACAAAATATGCCTGGGGATGTGGCTCAGTAGGTTCAATCCCCAGTAGCCCCCCCAAAACCAAAACAAATATATATGTGTATATATATGTATGTACATAAATTTATAAAAACTAAAGACTAGAAAGCTATATACCAAAATAGAATTAGTGTATTTCCTTATATATTATTTTTACTATTTTGTACTTTAAAATGTCTCATCAACAAATGTGCAACTTTATGATAAGTGAGAACTACCATTTTCATAAAATTAAAACTAAGGGACTAGAGGTATAGCTCAGTGATAAAGTACCTGCCAAGCATGCTTGAGGCCCAAGGTTTAATCTTGAGCACCACAAACAAACAAAAAATTAAAACTAAGAATTATCCTTATTGTTGCTTCAACTGCTAATGAATCTCCCCTGAGGGTATAAAATAAGAGACCAAAGAAGCAGAATTACAGACATTTTTTAACAGCTTTTATTACTATTCAACACAAGCTCACAGGCTGTTACAAACCTTACACATAATAATTAAGAGACTTTTCTTTCCAAAGCTAATTTGTCCCAGTTTCCCTTCTTTATGCAGAGGGATTAGACATATTCTGTGTTATCCTGAGCCTTTAATTTAAAAAGGCTGCCATGGCTGGGTGTGGTGACACACATGTGTAATCCCAGCAGTTTGGGAGGCTGAGGCAGGAAGATACCAAGTTCAAAGCCAGCCTCAGCAACTTAGGGAGACCCTAAGCAACTCAGCGAGACCATGTTTCTAAATAAAATACAAAAAAGGTCTGAGAATGTGGCTCAGTGGTTAAGCGTCCCTAGGTTCAGTTCCAAGTACCAAAAAATTAAAAAATAAAAATAAAAAGGCTGCTATGAATGTGAAACCTCACGAGGAATACACTGCAAAGAACCAAGTAAATTCTCACTGTCCTTCCTGAGCAACACCTGGCTGGCAGTGGTAAACTGGGGCATTTATAACATCTTTTTTCTAACATATGAGGACAGACTGTCTTAGTCACATGAGCCTTTTGGGGTCTATTTTCTCCAGGTGAACCAGAGGTTTCAGCTGCTCAGCAAAGTTCCTCATGTCATCAGAGACCACGTCCTGCCCAGCTGGTGCAACAACACTTAATTCCACAAGATAGGAGAGCGACAAGGCTTCAGTGCTGTCTGTGTTCCCTGGCACCAGGATACGGAAAATCTTGTATACCATAATCTTCATAATGCCCTTACGAAACAAGTGTCCCTTGGCAACAAACTCATGGTCCATACGGAAGCCCATTTCCATCAAGAAATCTGTGAGGTTTTCAGATGTGGCAATGTCCACACAGTTTCGCACCAAAGCATATCGGTTCTTGTCTCCCATTTCTGGCTGTCCCAGGTAACGCAGATGCCAGGGTGCCCCTGCTCTATCCATAGAGCGCCGGGCCCTCAGGACAAATGGGCTGGCCTGCTGGCCCTTCAGGAGGAATACCATCTCATGGTCAAGGAAAGTTTCAGGTTCCATGTTGTCACATAAACCACGAAGGCGGTGGATAAGGCTTTCCAAACTGTGGTCTAAAACACTTCCTAAAGAGGGAAAAAGCACTATTAAATCTCAGCTTTCATTTTGGGTCAAAGAATTAGCAAAGGATTATTTAAAAAAACAAAACAAAACAAAAATCTTAAATGAAAAACCCAACAGTTTAGTGTAGTACTATGTAAAACACAGGCCTAATATATAAGGAGTTATATTGCCAAGCTATTGTATAACATTATGAGAAAGTTATTTCCCTTTCTTTAGGATCTCCCTAGAAATGCTAATGACCAGAAGTTCTTGCTCCTTGGCCTCAGAGCCTTTAAAAGACAACGGTGAGAATGTCGTTTATTTTAACAATTATATTTGTGGGATTGATTTTTTTTTTTCTTTTTTGGTGTTGGGGAGTAAACCCAGGGCCCCACTCATGCTAAGCAAGTGCTCTATCACTGAGCTATACCCCTGGCCACAATTATCTGCTATTTCCAGCAAGTTTTGTTTTGTTTTGTTTTGTGTGTGTGTGTGCATGTGTGTGTGTATGGTGCTGGGGACTGAACTCGGGGGCTTCACTGCATGCTAGGCAAGTGCTCTACCACTGAACTATAACTCCAGCCCCATAAGTCTTCCATTTATGTAAGAACATATAAAGCTTCTTTTTTTTTTTCTTTTGTGATGCTGGGGATTGAAAGATTGAACCCAGGGCCTTGTACATGCTAGGCAAGCGCTCTACCACTGAGCCACATCCCCAGCTCTAAAATTTCCATTTTATATAATATATTTTTTTAAAAAGACAATGAACCGCTTCATAAAAACATTAATCTTAGTCTTCATTTATTCATCCTTCTGGCAGCATTTAACACAGTTGTTACAAATTATACCCTTGGCCTTTACGACACAAATCTCTCTTGGTTCTTCACCTAATTCTGTGACTATTCCTTTAAGTTTTCTCTGCTTAATCTCTTCATCTTGCCTAAATGATGGAAGGTCCTACAACTCATTCCTGGTCCTTTTCTCTATCAATAGTCACTTTGCTAGGCATGGTGGCACATGTCCGTAATCCCAGCAATTCAGGAGGCTGATGCAAAGGATCACAAGTTCAAGGTTAGCTTCAGAAACTTAGTGAAGGCCTAAGCAACTTAGTGAGATCCTATCTCAAAATTTAAAAATAAAAAAGGGCCAGGGATGTAGTTTAGTAGTAAATCACCCCTGCGTTCAAGCCCTGGTACCAAAAAAACAAAAAAAACACCAAACACCCCCTCCTCCAAAATAAGTCTCTTCCTTCCTTGGTGACCTGATTTGATCCCATAGCTTTAAATACTATTTTATTTCTTGAGAATCCCACATTTAAATCATGAACTACAGACTCATATATCCAAACTGTCTACTCAATCTTTCCATTTGGATGCCTAACATACATCTTTTGTTGTTGCTGTTTCCAGGGATTGAACCCAAGGGCACTTAATACTGAGCCCCATCCCTTTTATTTTTATTTTGAGACAGGGTCTCACTAAGTTGCTTAGATGATCCCAGGTTTCATAATTATCTTTTTTTTATTTTTATTTTTTGTAGTTGTAGATGGACAGAATGCCTTTATTTTATTTGTTTATTTTTATGTGGTGCTGAGGATCAAACCCAGTGCTTCAATGTGCTAGGCAAGCACTCTGCCACTGAGCTATAGCCCTAGCCCTCATAATGACTTTTAAATATTACTTTCATTTCCTTGAATCTGCCAAGCTCTTTCCTGCCTTGTGGTCTTTGCATTTGATCATCCCTGTGCCCTGACAACTCTTTTCCCTAATCATCTCATTTTCATCCTTTGGATCTCAGCACAGGTTCATCTACTTAGACCTTTTCTGACCACTCCAGCCCCTCAGTGCAGTTTTCCCCCAACCCTTCCCACCAATTATTCTATCATCTACCTTTTATTTCCTTGTATTTCTACTTTTTAATTTACTTTTTTATTTTTTGTTTTCTCTAATAAACTGTAATCTCTGTAAGGTCAGGGCCTCCTACTGCCTAGCACAGTGTGCCCTGGCACAACTCTTAAATAAATCTTCAATCACATGCTTACCAGGACCTGGTGGTCCATTGCTGTACTTAGAACCCTGTTTGTTTTCAAATATTCAGTCTTTTGAATCTTACTATTAGTTTTTGCAATATAGTGACATTTTGTAGTGCTCTAAAGAAAGTGTTGGGAATATCTGAAGGAAGAACATTTTTAGCATAAGGGATAAGAGAAATACATTGCCAAATACTTGTTATTTTCAGACAATAGTAGGCATGTCATTCTGGCTAAAGAGACTGATCAAGGGGGAAAGTGGGAAGAGATAATGTTGGACAGATAACAGAGAACATAATATGTAGGATATTGTAGAAAATGGTCTAGATTATATTTTATTTTAAATCACATAGGAAACTGGAGGGTTCTGAGAAGAGGATTTATTTGCCTTATATTTTATTTATTTATTTTTCATATTTGCCTTATATTTTAAAAAAGACCACTTGCCTATTGTGTAGATTAAAGAAGACTAGGTTGATGAACCAGGCATGATGGCACATGCCTATAGTCCCAGTTATTAAGGAGGTAGAAGGATCAATTGAACTCAGGAATTCAAAGCCAACTTAGGCAACACAGAAAGACCACATTAAAAAAAAAAAAAAAAGGCAAAGGTGGAGACAGGTTACTGCAAAGGCAAGGCAAAAATGAAAGCAAGTTAGACTAGGTAGAAATGATCAAGCGGGTGAAAGCTGGATTTTGCTTTAGTTTTAGAAATGTGGATTAGGTGGATATAGGATGTTGGAGAAAGAAGTCAAAGATGATTCCATGGTTTTTGGCCTGGGAAGATGAAAGCTGAGAGTTGCCATTTACTTTGATGGGAAGACTACAGGAGAAATAAGATTTTGAGGTGGAAAAATCAAGTTTGATATTGAACAGGTTAGTGTTAGGAGCAGGGTGTGGTGGCACAAACCTAAAATCCTAGCAACTCAGGAGGCTGAGGCAGGAGGATTTCAAGTTCAAAGCCAGCCTCAGCAACTTAGCAAAGAATTTACAGCAAGAAAGCCTGCACTACAGAACATTCTTGGCAAAATATTCCACAAGGAGGAAATGAAAAACAACAATGAAAATTTGCAGAAGGAAGAACTATAATAAAGGAAAAGCCAATCAAAGGAGAAACCAAGTCAAGTTTAATTGAAAAATAAACAAAAAATGACTGGAAATACGAATCATGTCTCAATAATAAACCTGAAAGTTAATGGCCTAAACTCACCAACCAAAAGACTGGTAGACTGGATTAAAAAAAAAGACCCAATAATATGCTGCCTTCAAGAGACTCAACTCATAGGAAAAGATGTTCACAGACTGAAGGTGAAAGGTTGGGATAAAATATACTATTCATATGATCTGCATAAACAAGCAGGGGTTTCCATTCTCATATAAAATAAAGTAGACTTCAAGTCCACGTTAATCAAAAGGGATAAAGATGGTCATTTCAGGAGCTGGGGTTGTGGATCAAGTGGTAGTGTGCTCGCCTGGCACTGGGTTCGATCCTCAGCACCACATAAAAATAAAGATATTGTGTCCACCTTAAAAAAAAAATAGACATTTCATACTGCTTAAGGGAACCATACATCAACAAGACATAACAGTTATAAATATACATGCCCCAAACAATGGAGCCTCTATCTATGTTCATAAATCAAACTCTTCTCAAGTTCAAGAGTCAAAGAGACCACAACACAATAATTCTGGGTGACCTGAACACACCTCTTTCACCACTGGATAGATCTTCCAAACAAAAGCTAAACAAACTATAGAACTCAATAATACAATCAATAACTCAGACTTAACTGACATATAATAGAATATATTATCCATCAACAAGCAAATATATTTTCTTCTCAGCAGCACATGGATCCTTCTCTAAAATAGACCATATATTATGCCACAAAGCAATTCTTAGTAAATACAAAAAAGTAGAGTTACTACCCTGCATTCTACCAGACTACAATGGAAAAAAATTAGAAATCAATGATAAAATAAAAAAATAAAAGCTACTCTATACCTGGAGACTGAATAAAATGCTACTGAATGAACAATGGGTTGCAAAAGATATCAAGGAGGAGATTAAAAAATTCTTCGAGGTAAATGAGAACACTGATACAACATATTGAAATCTCTGGGACAGTATGAAAACAGTTTTAAGAGGAAAATTCATTTCATGGAGTTTATTCCTTCAAAGAAGAAAATGTCAACGAATAAATGACCTAACATTACATCTCAAAACCCTAGAAAAAGAAAAACAAATCAATCTCAAAAGCAGTAGAAGACAGGAAATAATTAAATTAGAGCTGAAATCAATGAAATTGAAACAAAAGAAACAATTGACAAACAAAAAATTGGTGCCTTGAAAAAATAAATAAAAATGATAAACCATTAGCCATGCTAATGAGGAGAAGGAAAGAGAAAATTCAGATTACTAACATCCATGATGAGAAAGGAAATATCTCAATGGACACTACAGAAATTATTTTGAAAATATGTCCTCCAATGAAACAGAAAATATCAAAGGCATCAACAAATTTCTAGAGGCATATGATATACCCAAACTAAATCAGGATTATATACACAATTTCAAGCAAGGAAATAGAGGACACCACCAACCAAGAAAAGCCCAGGACTAGATGGATACACAGCTGAGTTCTACAAGACCTTTAAAGAAGAACTAACACCAATACTCCTCAAACTATTTCATGAAATAGAAAAAGAGGGAACACTTCCAAACTCATTCCATAAGGCCAATGTCACCTGATTCCAAAACCAGACAAAGACAAAGACACATCAAAGAAAGAAAACTCAGAACAATATCTCTAATGAATATAGATGCAAAAATTCTCAATAAAATTCTGGCAAACTGAAAACAACAAAAGCACATCAAAAGATAATGCACCACGATCAAGTAGGGTTCATCCAAGGGATGTAAGGTTGGTTCAACATACAGAAATCAATAAATGTAATTCGTCACATCAATAGACTCAAAGATAAAAATCATATGATCATCTCAATAGATGCAGAGAAAGGATTTGACAAAATACAGCACCCCCTTCATGTTCAAAACACTAGAAAAATAGGGATGTCAGGAATATATCTCAACATTGTAAAAGCTATCTATGCAAAGCCCCAGGCCAACATCATTCTAAATGGAGAAAAATTGCATTCCCTCTAAAAACTGGAGCAAAACAGGGATGCCCTCTTTCACCACTTCTATTTAACACAGTTCTTGAAACTCTAGCCAGTGCAATTAGACGAAAGAAATTAAAGGGATATGGATAGGAAAAGAAGAACTCAAATTATTTCTATTTGCCAATGATGATTCTATACCTAAAAACCCAAAATATTCCACCAAGAATCTTCTAGAAGTAATAAATGAATTCAGCAAAGTAGCAGGATATAAAATCAACACCCATAAATCAAAGGCATTTCTGTACATCAATGACAAATCCTCAGAAAGAGAAACTAGGAAAACCACCCCATTTACAATAGCTTCAAAAAGGAAAAAAGAAATACTTGTGAATCAACTTAATGAAAGAGGTGAAAGACTTCTACAATGAAAACTACAGAATGCTAAAGAAAGAAATTAAAGAAGACTTTAGAAGATGGAAAGATCTATCTTGTCCTTGGATAGGCAGAATTAATATTGCCAAAATGACAATACTACCAAAAGCACTATACAGATTCAATGCAATCCCAATCAAAATCCCAATGACACTCTTCATAGAAATAGAAAAAGCAATCATGAAATTCACCTGGGAAAAATAAGAGACCCAGAATAGCCAAAGCAATTCTTAGCAAGAAGAATAAAGCTAGTGGCATTACTATTCTAGACCTTAAACTATACTACAGAGGAATAGTAACAAAAACAGCATGGTATTGGCACCAAAATCGACCTGTAGACCAATGGAACAGAATAGAGGACACAAAGACAAACCTACATAATTACAGTTATCTCATATCAGACAAAGGCGCCAAAAACATATATTGGAGAAAAGATAGCCTCTTCGACAAATGGTGCTGGGAAAACCGGAAATCCACATGTAACAAAATGAAATTAAACCTCTATCTCTCACCATGCAAGAAACTCAACTCAAAGTGGATTAAGGACCTAAGAATTAAACCAGAGACCTTGCACCGAATAGAAGAATAGGTAGGCCTAAATCTCAATCATGTCAGATTAGGTCCCAGCTTCCTTAATAAGACTCCTAAAGCATAAGAATTAAAACCAAGAGTCAATAAATGGGATGGATTCAAACTAAAAAGCTTCGTCTCAGCAAAAGAAACAACCAGTGAGGTGAATAGAGAACCTACAGAATGGGAGCAAATCTTTACCACAAACACATCAGATAAAGCACTAATCTCTAGGATATATAAAGCACTCAAAAACCTTAACACAAGAAAAACAAATAACCCAATCAATAAATGGGCCAAGGAACTGAACAGACACTTCTCAGAAGAGGACATACAATCAATCAACAAATATATGAAAAAATGTTCAACATCTCTAGCAATTAGAGAAATGAAAACCAAAACTTTCATCTTACTCTAGTCAGAATGGTAACTATCAAGAATACAAACAACAGTAAGTGTTGGCAAGGATGTGAGGGAAAAGGCACACTCATACATTGCTGGTGGGACTGCAAATTGGTGCAGCCAATCTGGAAAGCAGTACAGAGAATCCTTGGAAAACTTGGAATGGAACCACCGTTTGACCTAGCTATCCTCGGTTTATACCCAAGGGACTTAAAAACAGCATGCTACAGGGACACAGCCACATCAATGTTTATAGCAACACAATTCAAAATGGCTAAATTGTGGAACCAACCTAGATGCCCTTCTCTAGTGATTAGTGATACTGAACCTCTCATATGCTTGTAGGCCATTTGTATGTCTTCTTTGCAGAATTGTCTATTTAGCCTCCTTTGCCTACTGTTCTTTTTTTTTTTTTGGTCCAACAGCTAGCATATGATTTTATTTATTTACTTAATTAAATTACTTATTTATTCTAATTTATTATATGATGGCAAACTTTGGTATATATGCACAATGGAATATTACTCAGCATTAAGAGAATAAAATCATGGCATTTGCAGGTAAATGGATGGAGTTAGAGAATATAATGCTAAGTGAAGTAAGCCAATCCCCAAAAAACCAAAGGCTGAATGTTTTCTTTGATATGAGGATACTGAATCTTAATGGTGATGGGGGGGGAGCATGAGAGGAATGGAGGAACTTTAGATAGGACAAAGGGGAGAGAGGGGAAGAGAGGGGGCGTGGGGATAGGAAAGAAGGTGGAATGTAGGGGCTGGGGATGTGGCTCAAGCGGTAGCGCGCTCGCCTAGCATGCGTGCGGCCCAGGTTCAATCCTCAGCAGCACCACATACCAACAAAGATGTTGTGTCCGCCAAGAACTAAGAAAAAAATAAATAAATGTTAAAATTCTCT